AAAAAAAAAAAAAAAAAAAAAAAAAAAAAAAAAAAAAAAACAGAATAATTAGCGTAAATGTATAATAATCATGCTGATTTTCGAAAACCAACCTGCTTCTTTACCAAACAAAGCCATTCAGTAAATTTCAAATAAAACAAAAAATATGGTTTAGAATTAAGTTATTTGGCAAATGTCATGTGTTGGACAGCGACAGCAATGTACGAACAGACAGACCAATCAAAATATATACACACACTTACAGTGTCTGTATATAAAAATGGAATGAAACAGAGTCCAAGTGCTTAACAGGTTGATCAATGATTCCCGAGTTGGAGAAAATTGTCTTTTTTCTGAGAAAAATTCCTTTTTTGGTGAGTAAATCCTGTATAAAATGTCTTTGAGGTTATGTGTTCTGTTACCCAAAGTCTGGCATGAAATTCATGCATTACCATTCATATTTACAGTTTCTGATATATGTATTCTGCTAACAGACAAAATCTGGGGGGGCAAGATGCATACTTGTTCTTGATGGGAGTTGACATGCAAACTGGTCATCATTTTACACTTTATGAAGGCTTCGTTTTCATGTGTTAACTAGCAAAGCATACAGATACGTAAATAGGAGTGCTAATGTATGTTTTTTGTTTTACCCCAAATCAGGCTTAAAAATGGGTATATATAAAACTTATAAAATTATTACCATGGTTTGTCTTCAGAAAAAGTATGATTTTTTTCTGGTGACATCATAAAAGCTCTTGTGGGGGTGAAAGTGTTATTTTTGGTTTCTTTATGTTCTCTACATGCACTACTTGTGCCTGGTCTTCTTTCAGAAAAATTCCGAATGCAAACACAAGAGCTGGGGTGCAGGAGCTGTGCTGTGCACTATATAGGACAGTGTGGCCGATCTTTCTGACACAATTCCGTTCAGATTTTCGGTCTTATAAGCTGGATAGATCTACGTTTTTACCTGCACTAAGTACACGTACCGTGACTTAGGCAATGGTCAAATATGATTTAAAAGAAAAAACTCAAGTAAGTCAGATACTTATCCTCACATCATTGTCAAATAATCTCAACGACCTAAACTAAAGTAATGAAAGTAATTACTGGAATTTACCTTCTCTATCCACCACTCATCATCTAAGCTATCGACCATTATTTGAAATCAGCCTTCTGGGGCAGAGACAGACAGAAACCCACGTGTATGTCGTTCGCTCCTGATCTCGTGTACGAAGGATTACTCTTATCATTTAGGAGGTTAGAAATATGAGCATTGTGGTTGTTGAGCCCTCGCCTGTTCAGCTATCACATTTATAAGAGCAGAATGATATACTTACTATACAGAAGAAATTGAAGGCTCCAAAATTTCTTTTATAAATTCGTGTACCTGTGATGTACACAACGACTTAAGTGCCATGGTTTTCTTTTTTTATTGCCTTTCTGATAATGGTACACGTGATAGGCCTACACACTACTGCAGTAGTCTACAACAACTTGCCATGATTTTTTATAATTATTTCTTTATTTTTTTTATTATTTTTTTACTTAACTGAATCACGGATGTCATTGCTGCAGTTACATGTTTATTAGGGTAGACTAGAGAGGTCATTTGTCTCAAATTATCATTTCACTGATAATGCTGCATCCATCGGGTATACAACATTTCTCATCACATCAGTTTAAGGTAATTTAATCTGATTGCTTTTCTTATTCTTGCAAAACCGGTTGATGGTTCTAGTCGAAAGAAATTTTACGGTTTTACCCAAGCGTATATTTTAGTATTTTCCAGCCAAACTGAATTTTCCCCGAAAATTTTCTGCGGCTCACGACTCATTTGATTCAATGCTTTATACCATTTTCAACAAAAGGATTTAGTTCCTTATAACTGGCCAGTCAATGACAATCATGTGCACTTTTTTAAGAAGAGAATAGTGATATTGGGTACATGTAGGCTTACTTTTCAGATCTATTTGAGGGGTCTTATCGTTTTTAAGATCTGGATTGAAAAAGATAAGTTTTACAGAATACATGTATGTATACAACATATATGACTCTGGGGCATTTTAGAACATCTATTAATCAATTAAATGATCGATCGATTAATTAATTGATTGATTGGTGGGCTATTCTCGCTTTCAGAAACTTCTTCCCTTCAAGCTGGCTAAATTAGATGATAAATATCATAGCATATTATAATTTATCAACTTTCTTTAAAATTACCAAGGTGTCTATTTTGTTTTGAAATGGTCAGAAAACACCTGCTCCCAGATCACTTACTGTAAGCTTAAAAATTAAGCTTAAAATTTGAAACACGGCAAACGTTTATAGCCTACAAAATATTATCATATTTTTAAAGAGTATTTCCCAAACTCTCTCACTTACACTTAAATTGTTACATTAGGCCCCTATTAAAGATGTACACAGAGACGAGGAAAGTACATATAATGGCACTGTAGAACNAAAAAAAAAAAAAAAAAAAGGAAAAAAAAAAAAATAATAATAATAATAATAATAATAATAATAATTAATTGATTTTCGAAAGCAACCTGCTTCTTTACCAAACAAAGCCACTCAGTAAATTTAAAATAAAACAAAAATATGGTTTAGAAGTTATGGGGCGAATGTCATATGTGTTGGACAGCGACAGCGATGTATGAACAGACAGACCAATCAGAATATATACAGACACTTACAGTGTCACTCATATTTACACTTACAGTGTCTGTATATAAAAATGGAATAAAACAGAGTCCAAGTGCTTAACAGGTCGATCAATGATTCCCGAGTTGGAGAAAATTGTCTTTTTCCTGAGAAAAATTCCTTTTTGGTGAGTAAATCCTGTATAAAATGTCTTTGAGGTTATGTGTTCTGTTACCCAATGTCTGGCATGAAATTCGTGCATTACCACTCATATTTACAGTTTCTGAAATGTATTCTGTGCTAACAGATAAAAGCAAAGATCTCAAAAAGTGTAAAATGATGACCAGCACAGCCAGTACATATCAGAATCGTCAATAGGAGTGCTAACGCATGAATTTTCGTGCTAGTGCATCCACTGTGATGTGGGAGCTCTCAAATTCGCTCCTGTAAAGGCCAACTAGTTTTTCTCGTCAACAGAGCCAGGTAAGGTGAGACCCATCTGCTTGTCTACCAGCTACAGTGTAGGTGGCTGTCAAATCATACACAGGCGCTCTGGAGCAACAAACTACTTAATTCTTGATGGGAGTAGACATGCAAACTGGTTATCATTTTACACTTTATGAGGGCTTCGTTTTCATGTGCACCCCACCAAAATATCATACTTTTTCTGGAGACAAATTATATGAATAATTTTATAACAAGAAATTTTATATATACCCATGCATTTTTAAGCCTGATTTTGGGTAAAACAAATATCATACATTGGCACTCCTATTTAAGTATCTGTATGCTATAGGACAGTGTGGCCGATCTTTCTGACACAATTCCGTTCAGATTTTTGATCTTATAAGCTGGACAGATCTACGTTTTTACCTGCACTAAGTACACGTACCGTGACTTAGGCAATGGTCAAATATGATTTAAAAGAAAAAAATCAAGTAAGTCAGATACTTATCCTCACATCATTGTCAAATAATCACAAAGACCTAAAATAAAGTAATGAAAGTAATTACGGGAATTACCCTCTCTATCCACCACTCATCATCTAAGCTATCGACCATTATTTGAAATCAGCCTTCTGGGGCAGAAACAGACAGAAACCCACGTGTATGTCGCTCGCTTCTGATCTCGTGTACGAAGGATTACTCTTATCATTTAGGAGGTTAGAAATATGAGCATTGTGGTTGTTGAGCCCTCGCCTGTTCAGCTATCACATTTATAAGAGCAGAATGATATACTTACTATACAGAAGTGATTGAAGACTCCAAAATTTATTTTATAAATTCGTGTACCTGTGATGTACACAACGACTTAAGTGCCATGGTTTTCTTTTTTTATTGCCTTTCTGATAATGGTACGCGTGATAGGCCTACACACTACTGCAGTAGTCTACAACAACTTGCCATGATTTTTTATAATTACTTCTTTATTTTTTTATTATTTTTTTACTTAACTGAATCACGGATGTCATTGCTGCAGTTACATGTTTATTAGGGTAGACTAGAGAGGTCATTTGTCTCAAATTATCATTTCACTGATAATGCTGCATCCATCGGGTATACAACATTTCTCATCACATCAGTTTAAGGTAATTTAATCTGATTGCTTTTCTTATTCTTGCAAAACCGGTTGATGGTTCTAGTCGAAAGAAATTTTACGGTTTTATCCAAGCGTATATTTTAGTATTTTCCAGCCAAACTGAATTTTCCCCGAAAATTTTCTGCGGCTCACGACTCATTTGATTCAATGCTTTATACCATTTTCAACAAAAGGATTTAGTTCCTTATAACTGGCCAGTCAATGACAATCATGTGCACTTTTTTAAGAAGAGAATAGTGATATTGGGTACATGTAGGCTTACTTTTCAGATCTATTTGAGGGGTCTTATCGTTTTTAAGATCTGGATTGAAAAAGATAAGTTTTACAGAATACATGTATGTATACAACATATATGACTCTGGGGCATTTTAGAACATCTATTAATCAATTAAATGATCGATCGATGAATTAATTGATTGATTGGTGGGCTATTCTCGCTTTCAGAAACTTCTTCCCTTCAAGCTGGCTAAATTAGATGATAAATATCATAGCATATTATAATTTATCAACTTTCTTTAAAATTACCAAGGTGTCTATTTTGTTTTGAAATGGTCAGAAAACACCTGCTCCCAGATCACTTACTGTAAGCTTAAAAATTAAGCTTAAAATTTGAAACACGGCAAAGGTTTATAGCCTACAAAATATTATCATATTTTTATAGAGTATTTCCCAAACTCTCTCACTTACACTTAAATTGTTACATTAGGCCCCTATTAAAGTTGTACACAGAGACGAGGAAAGTACATATAATGGCACTGTAGAATGAAACATAAGACCACTGACCCGTTTAAAGCTAATTGAGATGTACTTAAAATAAATGTTTGAGTTTCACGCTGGCGGCTTTGTTGCAGTTGACCATGGTGTCAGGACGAGCAGCTAGCTCCTAACTAGAGTTGTCCCGACCTGACGTCACACTGGACGTGACCTGCCATCAGACACCTGTACGGTGTAACGAAACTGAGGGTCAGTGTAACATAAAGTCCGCCTTTCATTTAGTTATAATGGTTAGGGTTAGCCTGACCTAAGTGAGTCAAAATCTAGGGTGAGACTTACCTGTACAAATGAATGGGAACTCTAATATGGGGGACTCTCTGTCACGTTACACCGGGTTAAAATCCATACAAGATAGATAAAACAGACATTGCACTGCATCAAGCCTTACATGGTATATAACTTCGCAAGAGCTAAGTAGGCCTACTAGTATGCCCGGCAAAAGAATTGCAAAATATTCAACTCTTTAAAAACGGAGATAAATAATAAAACTCGGGGGTTTATTTTCTTCAATATCTCTGGCAGTGAAAATTGTTTTGTCAAAATAAAGAGAGAGACTGTCGTAACAAACTGACTGATTTAAACTTGGAAGAATAAAACTCTGGCCTGAAGTGATGAAGTCAAAAGGACAACAATTACTCTTCATTTTTGACGGGAAAAGTGCCAGAAACGGATTTTCCTGGGGTAAACGACATGCAATGCTCCCATACTAACCTATCGTTAATGAATCCGTTCCGATATTCGAAGATAGTCGATTTTATGATTTTCTCGGCTTTTTTTAAAGAGATTATTACGGAGAGTAGGCATCTATGCAGGCCCACGTGGTCAAGTGTCAAGCACAGATATAAGAATACTTGCGATAACCACCGTTTTGGTGGTAAAATGGACTTTATTAGATTTCTATGTGTTGTTTACGATGTGTTTATTGACTTTTGAATCTCAAATGAAGAGCTGTCATACCTTTTGATAAGGTCATCAAGGCAAATCAAATTTACATGCATTGTGCGTCCGTGTGTAGGCCTGCGGGAGTACTTAGATATCTTTGCGTCATGCAAATTTGAAATGAGTTGAACCAAGGAGGGCATCACATTCAGGCAAAACGAAAAGAAAGTATGGCCGATCACGAAGTTTTATACCAAGCGATAGTTACGGCACTTATTGTGCTTCTGTTATATTCTATTTTCTTCAGATTATGGAAATGGTACAGCATCTTCAGACTGCTCCCTCCTGGTCCTTGGGGGTGGCCATTTATTGGATACCTCCCTAAACTTAAGACGAACAGGCATCTGGTCCTAACGGAGTTAAGGAAGACGTACGGCGATGTGTATTGCCTGAAAATAGGAGTACATCGAGCTGTTGTTCTGAATGGGTTGGAAACCGTTCGCCACGCCTTAGTTCATTTAGGGGAAAACTTTGCAGGTAAGAAAGACACCTGTTGGGTTAGGACCTAGATGTCCTATATCATTTCAGTTTTTGAAGTTCAAAGGAAACAGTTATGGGTAATTTCATATCTATTAGTTTACTTGCAAGCTTGCATCTGATATGTGGAACTACAGACCAACTATTAACTAATAGGTTATTGCTTCAGCCTTACAGAACTTCATTTTAATAAATTTTGATAAATTTTGGAATTCATTCAGAAATCTGAATGGTTGTTTTGCATAGTGGTCAAACAAGAAGAGCAAAAACTGAAACCATCCATCACAAAACATATAAATAATTGTTATGATTTGCGAACATCTTTTTCGTCGTTACAACTTGTTGGTTGCAATGTGAAATGCTCCGTCTCTGTAAAAAAAACAATCAACGTAGAATAACTAACGTTTAGATTGGCATGCACAGGTCGCTGAAGTGTACTGAAGAATTGCAATATACTCGTGCTTTTAAAAGCATTTTATTTTTGTAATATTTAAATTTTTATTGCAGGACGGCCGAGTTTTCATACGTTTCAGTTCATTGAAAACGGTAATAGCATGGCCTTTTGCGATTTTGGTCCTCGTTGGAAAGTGAGAAGAACAATTGCCTTAAATGGACTGCGTGCGTTTTTAAGGGATAAGGTTCACCCTGTTGAGATTGCAATGACAGAAGAAGCAATATATCTGGTAGAGACATTCTTGGGCAATAGTGGAAAGCCTTTCAATCCAGAAAACAGCGTATATCTTTCACTTGGTTCTATAACATTCGGTTTGTGTTTTTCGGATCACACGTTAGGCCGCAGCGATGCTGACTATCTGAAACTGATAAAAAGCGTCCGCGACTTTACTCAGAATGTTGCGGCGTGTAATTTGGTTGATATTTTGCCATGGCTTCGATATTTATGGAAAGACAAGCTCAAAAGTTTCATTGAAGTTAATAACACACTGCAATCCATTCTAAGTCGACAAGAGAGAGAGCACCTCGCAACTTTTGAGGAAGGTCACATGCGGGACATATTGGATTCCTTTATTAAAACTTGCCGTGAAATGAACGAAGAAATTAAACAAGAAGTTCAACTCAAAGACGAGCATATAACTAACATAGCTGCAGATTTTCTTCGTGCAGGTACTGTCACTGTGTCGGCGACGCTAACATGGGCTCTGCTCTACATGATAACATATCCCAAAATACAAGAACGTCTGCAAAAAGAAGTCGATGACGTCATTGGTCCAGGGCGAAATCCACGATTGGATGACATGGGGTCTTTACCGTATGCAGAGGCGTTCATCTTGGAGACGCTGAGGAAATCCTCAATTTCCCCACTGTCTTTGCCCCACGCTACCACCAAGGACACTACTCTGTATGGATATCATATCCCCAGGGGCACTTGGGTGATCCCTAATTTGTTTTCGATAAGTCACGATGAAAAATTTTGGACGGACCCCCATGTTTTCAGACCAGAACGCTTCTTAACGCCAGAGAACACTGTGGATGAGATTCTCGCCAAGAGTTTCCTCCCCTTCAGTGCCGGCAAACGGCGTTGTTTAGGGGAATTACAGGCGCGCTGGGAACTTTTTCTTTTTGTCGCAACTGTCGTTCAACGTTGTCACTTTGAGAAAGTGCCCGGGGAAACGTATGACTTGACTCCTGAATTCGGACTGGTTCTGCATCCAAAACATTTTAATATCATAGCCAAATCGCGTTAGTTCGTGCTATTGAGACAATGATGACGCTGCATTTTACTTGGGCGTATTTTACTCTTCCATATTGAGTAACTAGATAAATGAAATGCATACAAATCCCCTATGGTGTTAAAACACGTAATAGGCCTATTATTAAGAGATATCATAGAAATATTCATCATAGCATGTGGCCTATACATTGTGTACAGTACTAAATACTGTGGCCATGCAGGTTTTTGGGTAGCATAATAAAGGCTTGGCCAAGCAACATCCCAAAGATAGTTTATGCGACTATTCATACCTATCTATACTATCTGTGAATATCAACATGTAAAAGCACTTAAATACTATATATTACAAAATTAAAACAAGTTTATCTCGCATAAAACACATAATAATTTTCACATTCATTGTAACATGTCGCTTGGAGTAATAAAAACATAAATGTGCTAGTAGCAGAACAAAACGAAAAGTAAAAGACTTAATTAAGAGGAACATTTTTTCATTTGAGTTTTAAGTAAGTAAGAAGGTCACATACGTTGTGCATAGAGCTTTTCTTTACTTACTGTATGTGTGTGTGTGTGTGTGTGTGTTCACTGTATGAAGCACATGTTTTCAATCACGTTTATGTGCCACTCTGAAGAAGATTCTATTTTACAATGATAAGTTGTGGTGTCCTCTCTAAAATAGGGTGTCACAATTACAGCTTACAACACCACATTTTTATACATACGTGTCCCTTGGCAGACTACCTGTAATATGAGGCGTGACTTGTGTAATGTTGGTTCAATCTGGTCAAAATCGGGACCTGAACTTCACAACATACTTTACATATAGGTCTACAGCCTTTGAAATGAATATTGTTAACGATGTTAAATTATGGGTGGTAGCTTGGATTGGGAATAAAAGCTGCCACAGACTGAATAATGCATTGCGTTTTCGCATGCGACAGGGTAAAATGAATTATAATTTATCACTGGGTGATCAAAAGGTTGAGGTTGTGTAAGCACAACACCTCCATATTTCATATTGCATAACAAACGTCTCCTTTCCGTTCTTGGCATCTTGGATCCATCACTGTCTAATAACATAAGAAATATATCTATGAGGTCATATGCTAATGCTGAGAGGGTTTGCAAATTTGCATGTAGTTTTTGCTTCAGGCGATAGGTAGCGACTGTTGTCACATTCCATGACTTTACAGAGAAGTACAAGAAGGCTATTTACGCTTCTGGTGATTCTGAAAAAAATGTTTGGGAGTTCTACTTGTTCAATGGACATTTTTTGTCATGGTGTTTTTCTTTTAACTGTTTAATCTCCCATACTGATGTTCTTGCGTCTTAATGTCTATTCCTGCAAAATTCACGCTATTTGAACAAAATCGCATTTACACATACCTCAGTAACGGTGTAATTTCACCTTTACTATTGTATAAAAACACATTGTATAAAAAGCGGTCATAAACTGAAACCGAATTGCAGACGGAGATGAAGCAAGAGAACGTACCGTACACGTGAGATGGAGGGTATTTTTTTAGGTAGGCACATTGTGGTTGCTGCGCTTTCTAACACAATTTCGATGGTATGAAAAGCATGAAAACTCAGAGGACGTCGCAAACGTCTTTGTGACCAAGACCAGTGTACATACCGTGAATTACCTGAGAAATCGATTGTGCTAGGGGTGAAAGAATGCATAAATTTGTTTTTAGTTTTCCCTTCAATGGCGCTGTCATAAATTTCAACGTAAACCCTACTTTGTTAGAAAATATCTTTTTAAAAATGGAACTACTATTTATAGTAATTAAGCCAGTGGAATTAAAACTATAGGGACCTTTCTGCTTTTACGAAAGAGATTTTTTATGTCTTAACATTCTGTGAGCTTCTTATCTCTTTAAATTCAGAATTTAAAATTATACAAACCTCCAATTAAGGTCCCTGATGTCGATAGGTACACAAAATATCAAGCCCAAGTGCAGGAAAGAGTCGAATAGTTTGTGAGTAGGAAGACATTGCTTTTTTTTTATCGAAGAAAATTAGATTTGGGCGAAAATCTTACATAGCCTTCATCTGTAGAATTCATTGAACTATGTACTAGCTGATGCAAATATCTTCATGTTTTTCAGTCTTGCAAGAAAATCCAAAACATTACATAATTGTTTTTAAATTAATGTTAACGAAGCTACCACTGAATTTCCGAGATGTTGTTTAGTAGGTTATCTGTAACTGGTCCCTACTTTTTCGACCATTTTGGATAAATATACTTTTTGTCAGCATAACTCTAAGCCCTTTTTATTTAATGCTTTATTACATATCAAAATGCTAAACTAAAACATTAACATTGACAAAGTAGCCACTTTGAAATTGATGGCGTTATTTTGTGTCTCACTGACTTTAAATTAGAACGGTCGAACAGACAATCATCAGCAGGCTGTACGTCTATACAGTATGATGACTTTTCTATTGCAAGGGGGAATGTTTAAGTTAAATTATAGTAAGAGTATAATTATTAATCCTTTATGTTCAGTTTGGCAGGCTGCGGGCGGGTAAGCAATTGCTTTCTCTCAGTCCATCAGAATTCTTTCACTTTTCCTCAGTCAGCGTCAACGTTTCAAATATACGGCAAAGCATAGTTTGATTTGGGCTTAATCTCCTTCACCTGAAAATGAACTTTACTTTTTCTTTTCTCAATAACAAATCTTTCTGGCCGATACTTGGGAAGGTAGGACATTCCTGACGACGCAGCCGATGTCAAGTCACTTCTCCGATACGGTCTCTCCACCCGCTGTTTCGGTGCGTAACGGTACGAGTTTCTATAAGTGGGTAAATGGTCGCGTGTCACAGGTTTACAATATATACAGTGCGTTTTATAACTTTCAGCGAGAATGTGGCCCAAATTTGGTGCTACTAAACTCCTCGGTGTCGCATCCACGGGCGGGAAAGCATAATTCTGCACTTTCCTTGCAAGAGCTCGATTCGTTTTTTCGATGCAATAAGAGCAAGAACTTGGTCCAAGGACATCGCAAAACGCCTGGGAAAATGTCGCATTTCGATTCCTTGCACCTCCGCATCTCGTTGGTTCGTAATTTCTAGGATGTGTCTGCACAAATGAAGGAGTTCTTTTGCCAATGAATTCGTCGATAGTTTCCTGAGTAGGAGTCACGACGCGATCCTTCCACCTTGCCGTATAGTTTGGCACACCGTAAGGGACTAGTTCAGCCTGAGCAGGCCTCTTGAGTTTTTGTATTAACTGATGGGGAAGGCGATGCTTTGAGGCGGACTGCAGTCTGGATCGCAAGATCATCTCCTTTTCAACTTTTGCGTCTAAGTTTTTGGGTAACTGGCCTTCCCCAGTCGACGTATCCCAGTCTTCTTGGATCATTTCAATTGCCTCTAATGCGTCTGAACTGCAACAGAGAGAAGCGCCATTTCCGTACAGTGTGCTTAATGCAGGATGCGTCTCTTGATTTAGAAATGTTCAATTTTGTAGAAACCTTTTTGCATAATTGCTTAGCTTAACGAAATCGAATAGCATAATGGTTTATTCGTTAGCTTAGCGTGTTATTTCCTAAACAAAATTTAAGGTATTCATTTTTGCTTTACAGCTTAATTCTTAAAGAATAACTTTTTTAATTTTTTAAGCGTTCTTCTTACCTAACCAGAGACAGCAAAGATTTCGCTCTACGGTAGGGTTCTAATCGACTAGGATCAACACCGGAATTTCTTCGTAACTTTCTGATTATCTGTCCTTCGACTAAAAGAGTGTTCTCTCTGGTAGGAGGATTCGAAGCGGATGATGCTATAGAGAAGTAATCACTGGTGGGAGAGCTCGCATTATCACCCACGCTGAAAGCGGTCATCCTGACGGGAGGAAGGGCTTTCACTCGTGGCGAATCTGAAAATCATAATGATAAGGCAAGGTTGAAACACGGGTTATTTCAATTCTTAGAAGTCAATATGATTCAGACCTGGCTCTGGTCAGAGTCAAAAGCAGTTTGTAGAATAAATCATATATATATATATATATATATATCAGCCTGTCCATATAGTGTTTATACTGCTTTCACATTTTTTACTCACTCACTTTAAACTGACATAAAAAGGAAATTCAAATGTTTGCGTTTTGACAGCTGTTACAGTCCCAATCGCACTGAATAAGAATGCTGAAACTGAACGAACTAATTTAGTAAAATCCCTCTTTTCGCCAAACCTTTTTGTTTTGCTTCTTGCTGGACTAGCCCTGGCCCAGCCATCCTCCTGCCTGGCTAACACCAAGTGGACATACAGTGTGAGTGTACTTTCTGCATATGCTTCGTCTTACCAACACAACAATTTGTTTTTGGCAGGTGTAGTGCATACATGATGCACTGACCTCATAAACAACGGTGACACGGAATAACTTACCCGGTTTGTACTGTTGATGAGAGCCATTTAGTTGTGTGGCTTAAGTAAACCGCGTTGTGCATCTCTAACCCCTAAAACTATAAGTATCCAAGACCAAATTTACACAAGACACTGTAAATTGATATCTATCAAAACCAAAGTCAAACATAACCTCTCTAACCGAAAAAACAAGGGACTGAAAATTAAAGTAAATTGTCAACACTTACCCCATTATGTCCATTCTTTCTTCCTGCGCCCAGGTCGCTGTAATGAAAACTACACCGGGGCTCGCTTGATGCAGTTCTTTTTCGTTCTTCTGGCTAGGAGTATTGTCTTTCTTTCAATTTCAATAGTTCTTCACGGTTATTCGGGTTTCCCGCTCGATACCTTTCAAGACAACACGTCCACCGTTAAACGCGTATTATTACGATGGCGCATTGAGTTTGACTGAATAAATACTGGCATTTAAAGCGTTTGTGAGTAAGCAGTTTTGTTGTTTTTAGAAAAATAAAATTCGACTGTAGAAGCGACGCAAAGCGCATTCACAGTTCACTTGAACTTTTTGGTGCATGAATTATGAGTGAAACCTGCGTTACCTCGGCCCAAGGTGTATTACACAACGTGCGAGTATTAGTTCAAAAGACCGTGAACATGCCTGGGTGTTGTCTTCATTTTATTATACGCATTCACAAAATCATTACATAATTGCAATCTGCTGAATACCGTAATTTGTGAAGTACCTGACAATAAGATTAATGAAATTGTGGGTAGTTAGTATAAATGGCCACGTCACCAATTGGTTGTAAGAGCCGAGCTGACCATCCAGAATGCCATCACAACAGTATATATATATATATTAATACAGCCCATGAACTCCAGGCTCCATCTCCCCTTTTTTTACCCGTTGTATTGGGTAAAATGGAAGAAAATTTAAAGTTTAAAATATATCATTAACAATTAAATGAAATAAAGATGTATAAGCCATTGTAAAAACAATACACAAAAACAATTTAATCAATTGTATGCATTTTTTTTATATTTTGCATCTGTTTATTACCAATACAAAGAAGCACCTCTACCTAGAAGTGTACACAGTATAATATACTTGTCAATTCAATACCAAATTTTAATAAACAGGAGAATATGGGCATTATCTTTCCATGTGCACTCATCATTTAAAAACAAAGCTGAAAATTAAGTTTTCTTCATATCAAACTCCACTAGGAAAAAATACTTTCCCAAATAGCAACATAGACAGAGATAAGGTTAATCGTAATGCTTTCTTAATATCACCTTATGTATGTTCTTATTATTATTGCACCATACTGTTCCCATCATTAGCTCAGAGATCATAAATTTCATGAATATGGACATCTTAAAACAGCTCCTGAAAAGAAAATATAGATTTTTAGGGCCATGATATATTACTTTTTATACCCACACAATCATGAACTAATCCTATCTACACAGCAAACCATTTGTTTCAGTTAGCAGGAATTAGTGAGAAATACTAGCACGCTGATGTCCAGAACATAAAAAAGTATCCTAATGGCATTTCACATATATCACTGTAAATTGCACTCTGAAAAATACGCAGTATAAGCATTAAATCAATACACTTTATATCTGTCACCAGTACATACCAGCACCAAACTTAGACGATTATCTTAACGTTTAATATGAATAATAAATACAAAGGCACCATTATGAAAATAAACAATACATTTCAGTTACATAAATATCATCTGTATCATTTGCTGGCCTGCTTTGGCATAAGAGCCATATTCAAACATACTGTTTAAATTTGTTCAGTCATGGTGTTTTGTGAAAAAAGGCATACGTCTAACAGGTTTTCAACATGATAATTCATTTCAGGATTTATTAATAATTGTGATACCCCCTCTGGGGTAGCGCTAACACTCGCCAATTTAGCCAAATGCTAAAACTGACTTAGGGTGCTTTCCCAGAGATTTAGATCGATCTAAAGATTAAGTTTTAGATCGACCTAACTCCCTGGGGGTTCACGCTAAATTGCAGTCAGCCGAGCGGGCACCATAGTTAATTACCCCCTTACAGCTTTTAGTAGGCAGGACAGACGCTTAAGCCGGCCATGCTGACAGTAATCTAGTGAAACTCCCCACAGGGATAGATCGATCTAAAAATCTATGGAAATGGGGTGTTAAATTGGCTACACAAAATAGGGTTGGTTTGATTTGTTTTAGTCAAATTTAAAGCATATAGAGGAAAAAGTGATGAAAAAATAGTGATTTGGCGTAGTGAAAAAATTTGCTAGTGCTACCCCAGCCCCTACATATCTCCCTACAAAAACACGCAAAACAGGTTAGCACAGACACTTGTCATCTTTAGCAGTATTGAAACTTTTGTGGAAAAGCAGCCATACAAAACTGCATAGATTAACTGTGGACCCACACCTGTCAATTCTCAATATGTACACTTTATAGGAACAAACAACAAGTAGTTTAAAATATTAAAACATCTCATAAGGAGCAAAATCTGTTGAATGGGGCCCTACATATGGTTATTATTTCTCATAAACACCCCTGTGAAGAATTTTAAAACAGTTCAAAACCAATCAATGCAGTTCCAATTGTTCTCTCATTATAACAGATATAACATTCTCACATAAACACACTTCTCAAATGTTTCAAGAGATGTTGTATATTTTTAGACACTCAGCTTAATTTTTTGTCCAGTCTTATGAAGAAACCCATCATCACAAAATAAAACCATGCTCTTTGTGGTGTCACACTTTCTTTGCTTGCTTATGCCAGTTTCCTTAAAGTGGAATGTTTCCAATACAACTTCATCATTCTGTGCAGCAATTCAAACTTGATACTATTTACAGCTGAAAGTCTCCACAAAAGCAGAAAAAAAAAAGCTTCACTCAATGCTTCATAATCACATCATTTTGTAAACAGTTCTTCAAAATGGTCTATCAACAGTTTAGTGAAGGAGTTGATCTGTGTCAGGCTGGCAATAGAGGCTTGGTTCCGGGACCAGATCAAGTTAGGACCGAATACAATAGCTAGGTTCAATGCTGTCATCATGTTCAGATCTGCTTTGGCTGCCACCTGAAGAGTGATAGATAAAGTTCTTTTAAATGAGCATTAAACTGTGAGAGACCAGCAGCTAAAAATAAAGATCTGACAGAAATATTTCTTAAAAATAAAGATCTTACAGAAATATATATTAAAACATTGGTAAAACAATCTTTTAACATATTGAAATTTCTTACAGAAAGATGCTAAAACAATTGTTCGGTATTTCATGTATAATCATTTGCTGTCTTTCCTACTTGAAATAAGCAGCACATACCCATGTTATAAACTCTAAAATGTACTTTAGTACAAAATAATTCTCCTCTGGCAGCTCTGTCAAAAGTAACTTCTGGGCTTCAACTATCTGAGCATCCTTGTTCAAGGCTGTTAAAAATACCAACATGAAAGACACTTTTAAACCAGGAAATCTTATTTTCTATCAGTATGTTATAGAAAATTTCTGAATACTAAAGAAATGTTAAATCAGTTGAATATCCATCAATAATTTGAAAATAAGTTTACTTGAGCAGAGTAATTTAAATTTAACAATGTAGGTGTCATTTATTTAAAATATTTTCAGAAGAAAAAGACTTATTGAAATTCTACATGGAATAATTAAAAATTATATAAACCATAATCATGTCTTTTTTTTATAACAAGTTCCCCCCAACACTGTGATCAGACTCACCATGTAAGTTCATGAGTTTTGGATAAAGTTCAAAGGTCATAATTGGTTCTGGGAGTTCTCTGAGGAATGACTTCAGCAGCACTGCAGGAATATTGATGTCATATTCTGCTAAGTCTATTTCTTGGCCTGCAAAGACAATATTAATTGAACAAGTGGAATTAAAGTTATTAATTTAGAATATTTTGCTTTTATGTGACTTCACTTTCAACAGGTTATAATAGTTTTTTAATACTGAATTGCCCAAAGTATTTTCTGTTTTATAATTTACTGTTCATGAAATAAAATAAACTTCTTCTACAATGGTCCTTACCTTCATTGAATTTTTGCTGCATTTCTTTGATTAAGTGTGCATTAGCAGATCTTCTAAATATTCCTTCCACCTCAAGACCTAAAATGAAATGATGGCAGACAGATGTCACTATTATCTCACTATATGCACACATCATATATCAAGAAAAAAAACATGTAGATATCATAAGAAATATGCTAACAGAAAATTGATAAAGTATCTGCCTTGATAAGGGGAACTTAACCCCCCCCCCCACACACATACACACCCCTCTGCCTTACTTTTACTTGTCTTACTATTTGTGTAATACTCTCTTACCATGTTCTTTTAAAAACTCCACACACTGTTTCACTACAGGGGGAATGACCTCTCCTCCATGTTGCTCTTTGATACTTAAATGAAAAGAAAAATTAGCAATATAACAGCCTGTTCTACATGAATACACACTTATATTGAATATCAAATTATTTTCATATGTATGGGTGTTTAAATATACATTTAATATACATGCCTTCTTGCCATTGATTTTAGACATAAAACATGATGCATGTCAAAAATATAATACTATAATCCAATGTTACTTACAATTTTAAAGTCACTCCAAACTGCTGAGTGTCTAAGGCTGGTTTGTCCTGGCTGGCTGTCCTGGCAGGGCGGGGCTGGTGCTTCTCTATCAGTTGTGCATCATGCCTACAACAGGCAACACATATAATATATATTATATAATATAAAATACTGCATTTAATCCCATTACATGTGTGCCTGCAAATCTACAAGTGTCACATTCCCATATGTGTGTGCTTAGTAGTGTTGTTGTTGAACTGTTTACAGTCAAAAGCCTAGCTTGCTTTTTATAAAGGAATTTCAACTGAATATGATTAACTTCATATACCTTGGACTTTTTGAATTTTTCACTTGATGAAATAAAAAACAAACTGCACAAGCAATTCAGAATACACAACTTACTCTCGTACTCTCTCTGGAATGTTTATTTGGTCAATGTGGATATACTTTCTGAGTTCATGGAGATAGTTCACATACATTATCTTTTTGCCAAACTTGGCACTGAAAAAGAAAAGGAATTCACATCCGCTTTTCTTTGATGATAATAAGCCAAAAGCTTTGTCTCAGTTACCAGTATATCTACTAGAACAGACTTCTTAGAATCTTTTTATTATATATTTTAAGAGTATACTAAGTTTACAGTTTTTTTCAATCTTTACTATTTCAAATTTGGAAGAAAGAAAATCTTAGAACTGTGAATCATGCACCCTATAAATACTTACCTAATTATTGGTCTAAATAGTAATAAAATTATCTTAATAAAGTTTGTGGGATGAACCAAATACAGATTCTTCAAGTTCTTCTTGTATCTAAAATTAGATAAAGCATTTCATCCTTGAATGAATTATAAAACGGATTTACCTAAAGATAAACATTTACTTTACAGGATCAATGCCTACCTTTTTTTTATCAACCAAACACATTACTTCAAAATATTTCTAAAACATAAATACACTCATAATAATTGCACATATATCTTTTGTTCAGTTTAAAAGATGCAATGAATACAAATAAAAAACCCAAAAGATAAATTCNGTATCACACAGATAATATAAAAAGCATTTTTATGTGCAGGATAAGAGAGTAGGCATGAACTGCATGCTAACAACAACTATAAGATGTTGAGGAGTTGAAATTTAATGGTTAATCACAGGGTAAAATTTCATGTAGAGAGATTACAGTTTGTTGACGTTTTTATTAACCAAAGTCAAACAGAACTTAAATGAAAATCAGAATTGTTGACAAATGATTAATTTCTACAAACAATTCAGTACTTTTACTAAAAAGTGAAAACCCTAAAAGCCATTTAAGAGCTAGTGTTATACATGTAACAGAAAAAATTCAACTAAAAAGATAGTATATACCTAAACATCCATCGGCTTAAAACCCCTCTAGACACTGCCACAAATTAAAATTACTACAAAATACTACGAATGAAGGTGTGTAAAAAGCACAGTAGTCACTATAACTAACAAACATGCTGTTGGTCAGCCCATTGATTGAAAGTTGTAAGATGTGGGTGCAGTTTATGTCCAAGCCATATGACAGCAGCAGAGTTCACATTAGCAGGTCCGAGATAAGCCAAGACAGGTGCAGGGAAAAGACAGACTACTCACTACCTGCAATCTCCACTATTCTGTGCTGTGCAACATCATAAAATGGCATGTCTTCTTCTCTCACCTGTAATGATTAAAAGGAGTCTTCAGTAATGTGTCACAATTCTTTTCTATGTTTTATGGATAAATCTTTGAAAACACTTCACCAAGAAATGGTTGTATATTTACATGAACCAAACAATATATAAATTGTTTATCACTTTCTGTAAAAACAATGTCTTGTATGTGCTAAATAAGAACATGAACCATCCACCTTCATGGCATACTATAACATGATATGAAACAGATGGATGCTACCAGATAGCAGGAAATACCACCTTATACAAATTGGCTATATCCTATAAACAAAACAACTCTTTTTATACTCAAAACAGTTTGCCTGCAGATATATGCCATCTGAACTTGAGGGATAATCACACACACACATATACATACACTCAGTAACTTCTGATTTATCATAAATAATAATAATAATAATAATAATAATAATAATAATATTTCATTTATACAGTTCAAGTGAAATGAGCAAAAAGTATGATGGGTTACAAAATGTTTTTTTTTTTTTTTTTTTTTTTGTGATGGGCTTCAATACCTGACAAGAACCCCGAAGATAACTGAGGCCCCATCTTCACCAACCCTGTATAATTAACTCAGTTAAGGTAGTTTGATATGAGATTATATATTGTGTATATAATTACAACAAGATCATGGCAGGTAGCTGTCAAGCTATGGCACACTGAAATTAGTTTATGTAAAAATAGCTGCAAGTTCTGAGAAAATCCTGTCGCAGGAATTCCTACAAAAACTTTGCCTCAAAACATGTCAAGTGATATATCTAGATGGCATTTGTATCTAGTATGTGCAGATTTAAGTGTCCAGCATCCTGTATACAAGAGTACATTTCCCTACATTTGTTAGCGATACAGACCCATCATGTATTCAAGTTATCAATTCCGGCCAGCACTTCCCATATCCTGTGTCCATAATTGCTTCATTTATCAGTGTATAATACAAACATTAAACGGTAATGTATGTTAATGAGGAAGTGAGTTGCACTGCAAACTCAGGGCTTGCACTCACAGTTTCATCTCTTTTATAACCTGAACACAGATCTTAAGTTCCCAACAAATTCTCAGAAACTCAGGATGGTCATTGGTATGCCTGAGTGAATTGTTCAGTCAATTTATTCATTTACTTAATTTGTGATGTGTTTTTGAATATAAAAATACAATAAAATATCATCTCTCCAAAGCAGCTTGTATGTTGAAATGCTACAACTAAACCTAATAGAAAATTTTAAAAAAAAATGACAGGAAAACTGTGGGTTACAGGGGAGGTAAGAACAGAGGAAGAGAGTGTTTCCAGTATGACAAATGTTCCAATCTTTATACTGTTATCTACATCTTAGGCAATGTAATGTTTCCTTTAATATTAGTGGATTATTGTGTTTATTGATCCTCTCACCTCCTCCTGCATCCCAAGTTCCTTTTCAAAGTCATCATCCAGGAGACCATCTGGGGTCATGGCCCCACTGCGCAGCACTGAGTTGGGATCATCCGGATTGGGAAGTTCTACAAGAGCAGAAAATAAATCTTATTGTATAGAACGCAATTCAAGTATAACCCCTTATACTTATCTAATTAAAAAAGATGCTACACTGTGGGCTGTTCTTCAACCAGCGGCAAAGAACATGTTCACGGCAAAGATGTAAGATTAATAACACTGAAATCTGCCTTAAAGCATCTGATGAATATGAGTGTTTTGCTATGGGAGCGTTCACAGTGAATTATGACCTAGCAAATGTGCACTAACTCCAAGAGGACTCTTGCTGAAAAATTAAAAATATCTTACTTAAAAATTTTACATGTAGTGCTTATCATTCGGAAACAAGGATAGTTTAGGTAATTCTTTTTACTGGAATGAGGCAAACTATTTATTCTTTAGGTGTTATTTTGAAATACGTCTCTCAAGTCAGATTAACGGACGTTTAACATTTAAAACCAACAATGACACACACATGCAGACAAACACATAAAAACTATAACCACAAGCTTACATCAATATGTAAACCAACATGACATTCTATACACACACCTCCTACAGCAAGTTGACAAAAGAGATTGTAATGCACTATTCACCTGCTCAAGATGATTTAGCCAGTCAGGTTTAAATATACATGTGAGGAGTGTAGGACATACACTGTAGGAGTGTCTTATTTCACCTGTAGGATCTCTTTCTTGAGGAGAAAGAGATTTTATCCATTTGTTTATCAAGTTTTCCTCTAGAGTATGTTTTATGTGTGTTGAATGCATATTCATCCAAAGTGTTATCATTGGTTATATATGCCAACACACACACATGCATGCACGCACGCATACACACATACACACACACACACAAAGACACACACACACCTCCTCGAAATATGCTTGCATGTGCATACAATACACATACGAGTGCATGCATGTATGCACACACATACCCACACACAAACTTACTTATAAGCTTGTTTGTATAATGAGCAACATTTACTTTCACGCTTATTGTACATATAGGTATTTTATTCACACAAACTTACTTATAAACTTATTTATATAATAAGCAACATTTATTTTCACACTTGTTGTACATACAGGTAATTTAATTATTAAAACTCCACAAGTATCTTAACCACCTGTAATACCAGCCTCGGTGGTGTATGGAGATAAGGGTCAGTGATTTTCTTACTACTTGTATGACACCTGCACAGTGGTTTACTATTATCATCCATACAAAATACCTCTTCTGACGATTCAGAATGCCCCTGCTGGTTGCAAATATCATCACTATTTTATCTAATGACTATATTACCAACTGTCAATTTTGGATCTTAATCTATTTGATGAATAAATGAATGAATGAATGAATGAATGAGTGAATGAATAAATCTTAAAATTACTTGCTTTCTAGTATATTAATTTCCTTAAAAGATGCAAGTTTATAATGGAAGTGAAGTTATATAGGAGATTGACAATCATTCTGATTGTACATTTATGAACACTTCAATACAATGAAGACATTGCTTCTACAATGTAGCTACTAGCACTAGAACATGTATTACAATTGTTCAGGTCTAACACATCCTGTTCTCCTCATATAGTATCTAATGACAATAATTGTGACAACTGAGGTGAACCACTTAATACTCAGATAGCATGCAGCATGCAAACAAGCTAGAAAAATGGCTCTATTTCTTCAAGTCATCAAAACTCCCATTTCTTCATTCTTTATGGTATAGCTTTGACCACTACTCAAATGCTGCATCCAAAGAAATATGTACAACTCACTAGCTATAAGTGAATATTTCTACAAGCAATATATACATGAAACTCATTAACTCAGTTGAAGGATGTGCATCATTCCAACACTCAGACAACTCTTCTGACAATGTTTCAGATAATTGGCTATTTGGGCAACATTTCATTACCAAACTGGTACCCAATTTATTTCTGCCTGAGGCACATCTAGTAAATGAATAAAAACAATCTATGCCGTTACACAAACAAGTATATGACAAGTAAAACACTAAAAACGCAAATGGGTAAATTAAGAGAAAAACACATCAAAGGAATGGGTATACTGGTATCTACCCTTGGGCAGTGTGTCCACCCTTTCCTCTAACCCTGGGGCACATAGAGGCAAACCTTCTGTCTCTGGACTGGCTGCTTAAATAGATAAATGACATACAAACAGGTATGCCCTTCATGTACAGGCAAAATGTGCTGCATACTGTATATGCTGTCTCTTTGTAGACAGGTGAATCATTTAGTTGGTTTGGTTTATCTAAAACAGTTTTTACTTTTGGCACTTACATTATTTTCAGGAATACTTTTCAGTTATTTGGTCTTATTTGACTTGTCTTGTTTATAAATCAGTAAGTCTTACAACTAGCATAACAGCACTCATTTTTGCAAATTTGCAACATTTTTACCTTAATTGCTTCAACCCTTAAAACCAAATACCAAGCTGTTCAATACTGTGTGCTTCACCAGTATCATAGCTTTAAGGGATGTAATGCCCATAATTAACTTTTTATCTTTTGTATGATCCATGACAGCCATCAAATGTACAACTGTATCGTCACCATTTGTAAAAAAGGACGTGTGACACGCTTGCCTATCATTTCCAAAGTGGCAATCACATGAGAGATGTTCTACATACATACTGTACATTCATAATTAAAACACCAGAAATATAACCTCATTAACTGAAAACTAATGTACAATATGTATGTGCCAGTAAGCCTGCCAGTCACATAAAAATGCTGAGGTGATCTAAAGCAGTCCTACTGAAATGTAATGCTTTTTATACAGGTATTATTCTTTAATTAGCAGCTTCAATGTTTTAATTAAGAAAGTAGTCAAAGCTGTTTAAAAGAAGCAAAGACATATTACCTAAATTCAACATAATAGTAGAACTGTGTAAATGGAAAGGGTAAGAAAATAGATCATTTCAGTTATGAGACAAGAGAGTACAATATCAGCTTCAATAACAACAGATACGTTTAGGGGTATGAACTGCACAAACCTTGATTGGCTGCAAACTCAAGACTGAAGTTCAAGTCATCATCAAACTCAAACTGTGGTTCTTCTAAGCCATCCCATTCAAAACCAGCACTGCCACTTCTCTCTAGAGCTGAAATACAATCAAAACAAAGCTTTTTATTATATTTATATATGGCCAAAAACAAAGAAGATCAATATATAAATTAAAAACAAAACAAACATAGTAGACAATACATTCACAGCTGAGATAATTTAAAAAAAGAAGAAAAAAAAAACACAACATACATCCAAGCTGTACTGGTGGTGTAGAATTCAACTGTAAAAAAATGGTTGCAATTAATTTGTCTTTTTTTCAACTTGTAGTACAGTACTATTATTGGTTAGGCTATATTAACAAGCCTTCTGATCTCAGGCTTTACTTACCAAACACATATCAACAATACAAGTGAGAAAGTGAGATAAAGTGACTTCAGGAAAAAAGTGCCAAATTTTATAAACAGAGAGAAACAAATGCTGTCAGGTTGACCAGTTAACGGTTTGACATTTATGCCAGAAGCTCAATAAACTTGGCACATCTGATTCAATTTGATAGAAAAAAAAAAGGGCAGACACTACAGTAATGTCTTGTTTGAGATAGAGTTGATAATGTTCATTAATATAAGAACAAGTGCCACCCGCAATACATTACAGGACATGTTACAGTATCGTGTGGGTCTTACACCCCATTTCCATAGATTTTTAGATCGATCTATCCCTGTGGGGAGTCTCACTAGATTACTGTCAGCTTGGCCGGCTTAAGCGTCTGTCCCGCCTACTAAAAGCTGTAAGGGGGTAATTAACTATGGTGCCCTCTCGGCTGACTGCAATTTAGCGTGAACCCCCAGGGAGTTAGGTCGATGTAAAACTTAATCTTTAGATCGCTCTAAATCTCTGGGAAAGCACCCTAAGTGTTACATTTTATTTCCCACCAATTTATAATTTATTTGTGTCAGTGCCAGTATGTGAGTGTTTGCTTATATCAACCCTATTATTATGTGCAATTTGAACCCAGTTTTATCATTTCATGATTGGGTTATAAATATATCTCTTTTTCTCAAGTAGGAGGTGTAGTTTAAATATACTAGTAAATACTATTTAGAATACTTTTTAGAATTTAACACCCTTATAATATTTAACTCACATCTTAACATGCATCTCTCCATGTAGTTTGATCAAGATACATGTACTAGTACATATATTAAACCTATTAGTAACATTCACCTAGCAAGATAATTTATGTTGAGTTGTCCATAAACAGAAAAATCAACCTAGATTGGTTATATTTATTAGACTGGCTTTCAGTTTGGCTGACAGATTTTGCACTTTATTAATTTAAAATATTGATTAATTACAGGTCAGTCTTGATGAAAAAGCAGCACGATAAATGGGGTTAATGGTGGAGTAGATAAAAGGAGCCCTATGTTGTTTGATTGCTAGGATACCTTGAGCACACTGGTTTTGATAACCTCTCTTAATGTACGCTTTCTAATAAAACACCCAGAAAAACATACTTGTAAAAGCTTGTAATGTTCAACTTAAATACAGGATGTATAGTTTTTCTACCTAAGTGACATAATGGTATATCGAGCACTTTAACACATTGACTTCTTTTGCTTACAAAACAAAATACATGTTCTTCACATTACTTCATTATTGATCAAGATTAGAAATTATATATTACCCAATTTGGCCGTTTAAATGCTCTGTTAATCGATATGATCATTAAACACATGATCACATGAAAAATAAATAAAATAAAATCAACAAAATGCAAGTTAAATTAAAGACTACAAACAGTTTACATACATGCTTGAAACCACCTGAGTTGAGTTCACTAAAACTGTAATTAAGAATAAAGCTAGATAAAATGTTAATCTCTCATGCAGATATGCCTCTAATGTGCAAAGGCACTGAACCAGGCTAGTATTCTAGTAACTGGAATGGAATGCTATTAGTATAAGCATCAGAATGTCATTGCTAGCTAAAGGTGAAAATGAGTTTAACTACTGTGGCTAAACAAAAGGTAAAATGATCCCTTCACAATGGCAACAAAAATGGTAGGAAATGATGTAGTAAAATAACTAGTACTTTGGAGAATGAAAATTTCAATATAAATTTACTAATGAGAGTGTACTTAGATGGCTTAGAAAAGGCATAATTCCATGGATATATATAGTTGTAAGTGTTAAGAATGTATCCCAGAGATACCATCATACAGATCAGCACAATCCCTAATAGTGGAAGCCAATGCAGTCAATTTAATATGGTATAATTAAACCTTCAACCTTGGTGATATAAATGAATATATAATAATAGTACAAGTATCCAGCACCTGGCAGTTAGTTGTATTACCTTCAATGCTATCCTCCTGGTCCTCAAATATCACACCTGTCACAGAGGAAGAGCAGATAACAACAAAGTGTCCAGAACACTATGTTAACATCAAATGCTACTTTTTATTTCAAAAATTCATGAACACAAGCAGAAAAGTAATGTACAGTACCATTTATAAATACTCTGTACCTGGAATAAAAGGAGCAATTAATTGCAAGCATCTCAACATTGCATACACAAATCTCTAAATCTTGTTTTAAACATGATATACCCTTTTCCTGAACTTCAGATTCTTGCAGAGATCTGTCAGCTGGTGGGGATCTTCACCAATATTTCATTAATATTTACAATGACAGTTACAAATTCATTTTATCATTTGGATTCCCAGCTCCCACATAGGAGATGTGAAACAGTTAACATTTGCCTAATACTGAGAAGTTCAAAAAGAATCTTTATCATGGCTAGTCAAAATGGCACTTTAACAAATAGCCTTAATTTTTTTTCTGGGCAGAATGCGATCTATTCCTGTAAGGAAAATATGTGATCAGATCAGTTCTTCTTATCCTTCAAAATACTTGGCTTTTCAAACCTAACTATTGTTACAGATACAAATTGCAAAGTAAGGCAGACCAATGTGCTGGATTTCTTCAGATATAAATTGTACCATCCAGATACCGTGACCTTTTCTGAAAATCTAATCATTGACAAAATACCTTTAAGCCATCTAAACTGATGAGCAGACAGCAATATCAATCACATCTACACAGACTGCATATATCTGGTAGTGACTTTCTAATTCAGTAATTGAGTAAAACCCATCTTGAAAACTGACTGAAAATCTGCACATCGGCAGATAGGCTAAAATAACAGTTAAAGAAAGAGGAGTCCTCACTTGGTGAGTGGGCAGCACTCACCAGAGCAAAAATGCACCAGTATAGGCTGCTACATGTAGTAGTTGCTGAGTGTTTTATCTGTATGTCAATCTTTTAATTTCATATTAAACAGTCCTGTAGTCTCTAGTCATCCACTTTTATCAAGTTAGGCCTAATGCATGACACCCATACAATGATGTACTACATATATCATGTGCAAGGAGCCTACAAGCAAGCATATATCTTAGAGTAACACACATGCAATTAACCAACATATTCAGTGCCCCCCCCCCCCCCAAATATAAAATATCACTGACATATCTAGGTAAAATTGCCAATGATTATAATGAAATCTTTGCATTTATGAGTAGTTAAGGACTATAGAATTGTTGTCAGATAACTTTCACACAAAATATATTTAATTTAAATAAACTAAAATAACCTGTATATATGTACCCAGTAGTAAACTGGATGTCTGAAATATCTGGAAATAACTGAACAAGTTCAGGCCAGTAGCCAGGGGGGGGGTTCGGGTGGTTGGAAAGAACCACCCCTTTTGCTGGGAAAAGGTCCACTCTGGGTAAAATTTGATCTAGGTGCATCAAGTTTTTATGGGAAAAGGTCCACTTTTTCAAAAAAGAACCCCCCTTTTGAAATTGCTGGCTATGGGCCTGAAGTTTCTACATATATGATAAAATATAGCACAGATTCGTGAACCAAATTTACCAAAATTCACAAAAGTCATAATATCAAGTAATCTACCCTTCCCCTTGTGTTCTTTACAGTTTCAACATAAACTAAAACAATGTCAACAAAACATTCAATGGCGGCCTGGTTACACACCTGAGCGTCGTGAGGCTGAAGAAAGTCTCCCTTTTAGAGAGTCTGGTCTTGTGGCACTACTGGCACTTCCCTGTCTTTGTACAGGTGTCTTGACGGGCGTGTCACCGTCCCCTTTAGCGTCCTCCATGGACTATCACCACCAGTACGTGTAGCGATTTCAGATTGAGGTAACGTAAACACTTCTTTTAAGTTCAACTAAAGCCGTTTCCCAGTTGACGTCATATCACTGATGGCAGATTCAGTATTGAACTAGTGCAAGTCACCATTCTATAGTGTTAAGAAAAATATTATCTGGCTTATATATTGTAAAATCACAACCAAAATATCAACAGTCAGTTGCTGTCACTCCCCTACTTCAATCTGGACTTCTGTGGTCGTAAAAGTCGTAAGAGGTGTCTCTAACGCAATACGGTACTAATACCTCACAGTGTCGTAAAATATGTTCCTCAAGATCCAATCCCCAATCCTTCTCTGTGCAAAATTAGATTAAAAGAAAACGTTTAATTGGATAAATTGTTTTTTTTATCCCCTTAAAAATGAGATATTATTTTTAAAAAAGACCAGGGTTAGGATGTTCTTTTTGTAAGAACTTTTTTCGCCCAAAATCAACTAAGCTATGAATTTAAGGAGATTTTTGAAAACATATAGGCTAGGCCTAGCTACTTCATAGTTGTCTTCATTTTAGTATTTTTCTTTAATACTATAAAGAAGCTTTTTAATTACACGAGGAGTTATATTCTAGGGAAAGCAGTATTCCCGTGCGCGGACTCCATGACGCTTTCTGGTGTTAGGACATCCTTCTTATTTTTCGAATAGGGGGCCTACATGTATTTTTTTAACTTAGTCATCGTTGTTTACATAAACCCAGTGACAAAATAATGAATAAATATCCATACAAAAATATGTGGTTACGTTATACGTTGATAAAATTCAAATTGAAGTGGTTGCTGAATGTGTTTTCTTCACCTAACGCAATGAGGACTGCCTGGTCGAGAAAAAGAATCGTTTCTGTGGGATGCGACTTCGTTACTTCAAGTTAGCCATACGTGTGTATTTACACTGCTAAATCTATTTTATAGGATAAGACAAACGATTGATGTAGCCATGCTCAGGCAAGAGAAAGAACGCTTTCGTAAAGATTAAGTAGACTTTTCGTATTTAGGTACCAAAGACAACATTATTTTTCTGCAAAAATTGGATTTTATTCTTTCCCTTTTTTAATCGTCAAAGCTGGAATAAATTTTAAAAAAGGGACCAGGACAGTCTTTTTATACAGCATAGTTCTTTTCATTAGAAAGAAAGGGATTAACAACCTATTTACATCGGCCAAACGAGCCACAGCAGAGTTTTCATTTTGATTTAATATCGAGAGCAAGCGCACAAGCTGAGAACCCCCCCCTCTCTCTCTCTCTCTCTCTCTCTCTCTCTCTCTCTCTCTCTCTCTCTCTCTCTCTCTCTCTCTATATATATATATATATATATATATATATATATAATAACTGATCCACTTCTGATGACGACCTATCTTAAAACTAAGTCCGCACAAAAAAAAACAAGACGACGTACATAATAATAAAACCTTTTTGTTAAATTTTATTATTTATCACTGAAAGAAGTATATGTGTATGAAATGTATAACAATAAAAATACATTTAGTAAAACATTAAGGTCAATAAGATAATAAGATTGGATGTTGCGTGAATTTGGCAATTTCTCCAACGGAAACACGAATATCAATCACATTTTAACCGTATCACAATTCAAAATGCCTTTGCGACCTCTTACGGCCCGCTTCAAAAAGAAAGAACAAAAAAGAGAAGACAGAAAGGTAGAAAGGGAAATATTCAATTTAAAATATGACTGGTCTACCAGTAAACTTATAACAGAAAGATGACCCCAATTTTAACAACTTATTTCAATAAATACAATTGAGATTATACTTTCAACTTGAATAAATCTCAGCACAGGCAGACCAATTTAAACCCAGGACCGAATTCAGATGTCCAGAAAATTATATCAATATTTTTGTGATAATCCACCTATTGCAAAGCTTTGTGAGTAGGCTATTCATACTAAACTAAACTGATGCACACGTTCTTGCTTCAGGATAACCCGTTCCTAAAAAGGTGGAAGAACTGCAACCTGGATAAATCAGATACTCATGCGCTCACTTCTTCCTCTCCCTCTCCTTCCATTTTACAGGAGAGGCTAAAAGATTGTAGATTACGAGGATACGGATTTATTCAGATTGGAAGAATGGCTACGAGTAATAGATTCTCGAGTTGCAAAGTAATATAAATGTGCCTAAATACATAACAATGTTTTCTACATGTATATACATCTATGGATTGACTCGTTTTGCATTTGCCAAAATAATGATAAGATTCATATTTACATGCGAAGATGTAAGTGTGAAAAAGATATCCTCATCTTCGGCTTTATGTCAAGGATTTCTTCATACTTGATCCCATAATTGCATAGGCTGGTTGATTTCTTGTCTGATATTTTGGATGATATAAACAGCTGTGCTTTTGTGGAAGTATAACACTATAAGCACTACACGGGCAGGGGCGGATCCAGAGCTTTTTTTCTGACAGTCTCCCAAATTATCTTTGTTGATCCATTCTCCATTTTTGACCGTCTTCCGACAGAAAAAAATAAGATACTAGTCAGTGTATACTTGAATATCTGACCGTCTTCCTGAAGACCAAGAATACGGCCTCAATCCGCCCCTGACGTGTCTCTTCATTCTCAGTTTTTTTTTTGTAATTCGTTGCACGAGATTCATAGCCTGTCATCTTCGTAAGCTGGGTTTGGAACACCTGGACCAGGATCCACCTGAAGGTAGTCGGTACAAATCTGAACAAAACTCTACACAGAGATCAAATATTGATATTCATACATAGATAGAGTGCTCATGGTTGAGGGGAAAGATCGGTATTACCTCATTGGGGACAAATAACTGACGAAGTCTACTGCTTATTTACAGATGTAGAAGGATAAATGGTCGAAATGCACACATGGTATTGCCATATTATCCCTTACATATCCCAAGTAGATCAAATGAATCAAATAACCTTTGTGCTATTTTTTTTATTTATTTTTGTGTGTGTGTGTGTGTGTGCGTGTGTGCATGTGTGTGTGTGTGTGTTAAAATGTACGTTTTATATCTTTATCAATTTCAATTATTGGCCTACCCTTGGGTCCATTAGGCTTAATATTCAAACACAAGGTATTCGACTTACTTTCACTTCCAGGCCGTTCCCCATTACACCAGTATCCCATGGATCAATAATCATTGCACGGTGGAACCTGGCTGCCAGGCGCCGGTGTTTAGGTAGAGCAGGGCCCCATTCTACTGACGGGGAGGCGAGGGTTACAATACGCTGCGGATAAAGATAAAAACAAAGTGAATTGACTTCATGAAAAATCTGAACTACTGGTAGCGAGTCAGATTTAGTGATTTTCATTGGTAGCTTTGGATCTACTGACAAATACATTCATAGCACCTGCCAATAGTACTTGAAAGATTAGGTTAACCAAAACACTTTTTTGTAAAAAAATATTTTGGACACAAAACACTTCATCTTACTTCTTTTATTTTATCATAGGTAACCACGTCCCACAAGAAGACATTAGCGGTTCCACATACTAGTGCATTCATAACATATATAGAAGATAATATAGAAGGGGGAAATGTTGTTTTGAACACTTACAGTCCACAGGCCGCCAGGTGTCACTATGAGCAGGTAGATGTACGGGATGAAGATGCCTACCACCACCGCCATTGTCATCAACCAGCCGAGTGCAAGGCCCCACACTGGATACTCGTAAGTTCCAAATGACAGTGGCTTGTAGTTGATCCAGGAGAAGATCATAATAAACTGAAAGGTGGAAGCAAAAGCAGTTTCAGAGATTTCGGTCATCACTTTGGTCTATGGAAATTTGTCATAATTTTTATTTACAACATACGATTTTTAATACGGATTATTTTGATTATCACACGTGCTAATTATTATGCCATGTGCCATGATTTCACTTACAGCCACAAGGAGTGGAGTGAAGAAACACCAGTTGACAGCCCACCACCACCAGGAACACATCCAAGGGAAGCAAGGCATCTCTCCAACCATCACGTAAATGTCGTCTCTGAACCGCTTTACGCCTGCAAAGTATTGACACATTGTTTGCGTAGTGAATGGATAAACTACCAGTATGAGCAGAATTAATTGTCTTGTCTTAATGAGCAATAAAACTCAGTAAGACTGTGTCGTTTTCTTAGTCAAAAGAGTCCTTAACTTAGAGTTGTAATTTTGTCGTTTTGGTTCAAGTCAATCCGAAGTACAAATGATTTGATATACTCATATGTTTGAAATTATTACTTTTAAAAAATTTAGATTTTAAAAAGTTACCGTATACGAGGCCAATGGCTATGCACTCCGAGAAAGCAATCAAAAGAACGTTCCAGCCCCCAGAATATTCATCCGCCAGCTGTAGTAAGTAGGCTCCACCCTGGAATAATTATCAGTTGTTTTTGTCGAATTACATCATATATAACAATTTGTGTTGGCTATTAATTTCCAAGCAAGCAATGAGACCAGGTTGTTGATTTTGTTATTTCTTGAGTATTACCGGTACGTAAGCATTCGACATTTCCGCCTTTGTTTGGGTTCAACTTGTTAACACCATTTTTTCTTAGGCTTCCATACGATCTGTTGTGTCAAGTTAATTATCCTGCATGCATTTTGTTACTATTTTATCGGGAAATGAAAAATATCACCCTGAGTTTAGTTATACGATTTCAACAACACTTTGCCTACTGGAACTACATATTTGTGGGTCCCTTTTTTTCAAGCTCATCATCAAACTGTAATGTATTACTGGGTTATGAAAAAGGCCCATGGATAGTTGATCGAAACATTTGAATAGTGTATGATCTTGTCATTTAGTGTCTATGTCAAGAATACCTGTTTTATCACATTTGTCACAAAGGCGGATAAATTTTGCAGATATTTATTAACAGTAAAGTACGCTTGATTCCCAACTTACAGACGTGCACATAACGAGGCCAAGCAGGTACAAGATGATGCTAACGCACGTGACCACGGCCCATTTGTGCTTCCTAGTACTGGTCCATACGTCCATGATAGAAGTGGTGACGGTTTCAACTAAGGCAAACTGTGAATATATAAATTGAAAAATCAGTATTCTGTTTTGCAAAATTCCAAGAAGAGGATATTATAAATACTTTGCGACGATGTTCTATTGTATGTCACCCCCGTGTTTTAAGCAAAATACCATAAAGCCAGCGTTTTACTTATTATTTCTGTTTATCTATAATGCTGCTCATCTTAAAACAAAATGTCAAAATGTGAATCTTTTACTTATGTAATCATGAATATGAAACTGTATAAACGTACCTCGCTGTCCAACCCAAGTGTAATCAACATGATGAAGAAGATGATGGACCAAAAGTGGGATGCGCCGATTGTTGCAACTGCTCGTGGATATACCACAAATGCCAGTCCGATACCTGTATTGAACAATCCATTAGTAATTACTGGATATACACTCATCCAAACATTAGCAGTAAGAAAAGGTCATACTGTTTAGAGAAAGGAAATTTGATGGCACCCAAAGACAGTGCTGAGGAAGTGTTTGATTAGTGATAATTTCCAATAATAATTGCGTTGCACTGGGAAATTACGCTTGTTCATTTACCTCCGTCAGCAACCTCCGAAACTGGCAAATTTAGCTCGCGTGCCAGGAAACCAAGGTAGGAGAAGATGACAAAGCCGGCAAAGAAACTCGTTAGACAGTTGCCGATGGAAACAATCAAAGAGTCTCTGAAGATGAAATAAATAAAACGTACACATTATATTTGGCGAGAAATACATTTGCCAGTGGAACACATTCTTTCTGGAACAATTTTCTGTTTAAAAACAGTAACATTTTTATCAAAAAGCATTGCCTTAATTTTTTAATATCTTTGTTAAAGTATCCTTTGTCTTACATCAGCAATCCTCTATAGGATAAGTCACCATTTTAAAATAAATACTGTAACATTTACCTCAGACAGTTATTATGGAAGCGATTATAGCTAGAGAGGGTAATCAGCCCACCCCATGAGGCTGACAGTGAGAAGAAGATCTGAACAGCCGCATCTTTCCAGACAGCTGCTTCAGTCAACTTGGTAAGGTTCGCCTGCATGATGTAAAACTCAATCCCTTCTCTGTGACCATCAAGGAGAAGTCCGCGGACAAACAGAATGACCAAGACGACATATGGAAAAAGTGCGGTGAAATAGACAACCTGAAAAACAACGATTGATTCAAGATGTTAATTCCATTTGATGTTTATTAAGACACTACCTTTGCATGCGTTTCAACTGCTCTTTTTTTTAATAATAATAAAAAACAGTCGCGTACCGTTTGAACAACTTGAGTCTAACCACTCTTTAAAATCTCTTAGTTTGATCTGAGTATCTAGACTTTCATAAAATCTATTTAAAATGAAATATAGATATTTAGATTCGACGCTTGTACACAGTGGTTTTCCCAGTCAAAACGACTATAACTGACAATTAAATATATGATAAATTATCTATATGTAATAGTATTTGTTACGCACTTTTCCTGATGACTTTATCCCCTTGATCAAACTGAGAGCCACTATAACCCAGGCTCCCAGGAGCGATACAGCCAGGTCCCAGTGTAGCTCTCCTAAGTTATCCAGACCAGTGCTCTGGTATAGCCGCCACACGCGACCACTGCAAGGATAAATTTGCATTAATAATTAACGACAAAAATATCTTGACATGCCCATTCCAAAAACCTCAATATTTGATCAGTTATGTCATTTGAACTATAATAAAAGTTAAATCTGGATTTATGACGGTGTTTGAAAAAGTAATTACGAACTAGCTTATGGGTTTACTTTGGACGTTCGAAGGAAGAATTCTTGGCATCAAGTTAACTTTTTATCCAGGAGAAATTAATGAATTTGGGAAACACCTTCGTATACAGTGTTATGAATGGATGAAAGGTTAAAAGATGAGATTGAAGCAAACACAAAAAGGCGATTAAGATTAGTTCCATTGAGTATATCGCGCAATTAGCTCGTTTTCTATGTATCCAAAAGTTCAAAGCACATATAGCTTACTATAAGTATTCTTCTGCTGCTGGTCGAGGACTGATATTATTTTCCTTGGCTCTTGTGTAATTCCAGATCCCAGCAACAACCGACCCATTATAACAGACGCCATTAGCACTTTCTGTAAGTGACATTGCTGAACAATTATGGGAGGTGAGGTTCGTCAAGGTTTCCGCACAAACTAAAAAGGACAAAAAAATACTTGATTTAAACGGAATATTTACCCGCAACGAGAGGGCATGTGTGCACAACTGAGAGCTGATATATCAGAGAAAATTAAAGATTTTAAAGCAAGTACCTTTCCTCCACAGCACAGTAACCCATGCATATCCACACACGCGCGAACCCGCTCGAGCAATCACACTCACACGTAAACATACATACAAAGCCGGTTTTGCAAACAAATGCGCGTAAAGAAACCTATTCTAAATGAAGCAGTTCTTGGGATATTTTACAAAAATTTTGTTTAACTCACAATCCGAGTTCCACCAGTTCCCACATCCACCGGCGCCGGCCCAGGGCAGCGTCCCGGTCGGGATGGAGATGATAGACGCAAACAGATAATACAGCGACCAGGCGATGATCATGTTGTAATATATAGCAACCAACGCCGACACGATCACCATCCCAACACCAAGACCTGAATATAAAGATTTGCACATGAAAAATAATCTATGAAATCAACATAATGATAGTGTAAAATAGCATGACGATTCAGATGTGTAAAGCAACATTTCACCATTTTTAGATTAACCCTAACTCTTTGCACTATGAGTTTGAAGGTATATTCACTTTCAGATACCATCCCAGTCATCAGTTTTGTCACCCTATCGTGTTAATATATTGGGATTTGCCGAATTCTCTTTAGACAACCTGTGCTTACATCTAACAGATTTTTGTTAAATCATTTTTGATAATACACACTTTTACAAAATTTTAAAGATATTTGAAGCAAGGGTGGAATTCTGGTACAGTGTACGTCGCACATGTAAGATGGTCTTAAACATATTTACAATGTATTTTGAGTGTTAAATCCGTTTGAGTGTTGTTTGATAAGGGCTAGATAATTACTGAAGACGGCAAAATTTCCGTCTATTGCATTTTGTTGTATCGAAATCTTGTACAATGTAAAAATATTGAATTGTCGATTTCCGACATCTAGGATTCATAAAATTGGGAAGAAACTTCTCGTCTTACCTGTAAACATGGGTGCAAACTTCCAACACGTTAGGGGTCCGCTGCTCGTGAACTGACCAAGTGATAACTCCAGAAAAAATATTGGCATACCCACCAGAAATAACATGATGCAGTAGGGGATGAAGAACACAGCTGTGAAGAAAAGGGAAAAAATAAAATTGCTGCAATATTTCATTACAAGATTTCAAGCATAGGGGCAATGCATAATTCATAAAAATCGAACTGTGTGTTTACGATACTTTTCCTTTAAGCCAATCAACTTAACTATTTTCGTTCAATCAACCACCATTCCCAAACCAGTAACTTTTTTTTAGTTTTTGGATTATCTAACAAAATAGACAACCAACTATGTCAGGTTTAGAGTTTTTTTATATCTAAATTTGATGTTTCGTTCTACGTACAATATAGTTTTAGCTGTCTTAAATATCACTTATTAAAGCCTCATATATATATATATGTTATTAATCTCAAAACTGGCTTTATTTTACCAAAAAAATGCCTTTCAGAATGGATGATGTAAATATATTCCAAGTTAATGAGTAAGAGTAGTTTTAAACACTTTTAATCAGATTTCATAAATAGAATTTTATCAGTTAAGACACACATGTAAAGATAACCGTATATGGAGATGTAAATCAGTGATTTCACTTCCTGGATTTCTTACTGAAAGAGATATTTCATGTTGCAATTCTTCACACTTACCTCCTCCATTTCTATAGCAAAGGTATGGGAACCGCCAGACGTTCCCCAAACCAACAGCATAGCCCAGACAGGCCAAAAGAAAGTCCGCTTTCCCCGACCAGTTTCCGCGTTCTTCGTTTTCATCTTTAGTGAAGTCTAACTTTCTGTCTTCTTCAATTATTGAAGCAGCCTGAAAAATGATTTATATATTCTTTTTTACAGAACTTTGCTTCAGTGGTAATGATTAGATCATCTTCATCGGTGTTTGCACTGTTATCACTAAAACCCAAAATAAATACCTATATGTTAAAGAAAGCTAATGTATTACTTTCATAGACCTGGGATTTGCCACGGTGTATTTGGCTGTAATCAAACGAATCTTAGGTTCGAGTGACACCAGCATTTGGTTTAGTACATTTTTTTGAAGGTTAAGCATAAACTTTTAAGGGGATATCTTAATTAATTAATTGCCATTTCGAGGTAAAATATAAAAATATCTTCCAAGAAATATGACACCTTTATTTTTCGAAAATCAAGCTTGACAGTTTGGATTGTTTAATCTTCTTGGAAGCACCCATAGAAAGCTCATTTTCTCCGGATATACCTGCATCTATCGAATACGAGTATCAACTAAAGCAAGTAACGGAAGCAAAAATGCACCATAGGTCTTCAAAAGATTTACAATGCCACGTGGTTAAGCAATATCACAGGGAAGACAAAGCAATATGATCTACGGAAATTCAGACGATAACAAATGGTCTATACGAGCACTTCTTTCCAAACTGTACATACCGCAATAACGTATATCAGTTTCTATAGAATTCATTGCTAAAAAAGGGTTTTCGCTGCCCAGAATTTCAAAGTTTTACACATATTACTACAGCCAACTAAGGTATATGCATTGGGTAAGTTCAAAACCGTACTAACAAGTACTGAAAATAGTGACTGACTTCGTGTCCCGTTGAGTCCCTTAAAACTTGCCCTAGAATTCCACCCCCCC